TCATATTGGAATCTGAGCAATGTACATATGTGTTGTTGTCTTATACTTACTGTCTATTAAACTTAATCCAGTGTTGGGTTTTTTCTTTGCGTCACAAAACAAATCACTTTATCGTTATCTTTAGAAGGTATGCTACCATGTGTACATACAGAACAGATGTATAGTAAAAAATACGACTCATAAAAACTAATCTGGGTGCCATAAAACTATTTATCCGTATATATATTGAATATATGCAGTGTATTAATATAGTAGAATAAATATTAATTAAAACCAACATATATTGGTCTTACATATATTTAATTTATAAACTAAAACAGATGCTCGATTATTTGTTTTATCAATGTCCATATCTATATCTATACTAATATTATAAAGAGGGAAATTTTGATTGTTTGTTTGCTTGTAACGAATAGATTTTGAAACTACTGGACCGATTTTAAAAATTCTTTCACCTACGAGAAGTAACATCATATGTATCATGGACATAGGATATATTTTAACCATCTACCTACATAAAACAAAGGTTTTATGAAAGAAAATTGTTCTCAATTTCACATAAAGAAGCAGTTTTATTCTAATATGGCATTGTGAATGCTAAATTAATCAAAATGTAATAAGAAGCAGTTTTTCTGAAAAACAATCTCGATGATTAGAAAAAACTTTTGAATATTGGTTCGAACTTTCAGAAAATAAACATTCTCGACCGTGTCATTACCTAGTCACTCGCACATACGTCCATTAACATTGTTATTAATCTAAAGCGACATTTACCATTTAAAATTGGAAATTCATTAGAGCTTAAAGGCATTAAACCATTATGGGCGTTTGTGTAACTAACAGAAAATACGAAAAGAAGAAAAACTGAAGAACCAGTTCTTCGTCTGGTGATAATATTATTATAACATTATTGTTCATGCAGCTCAAACTACCATGCAAACTCGAGGTAAATGAGATGCTTCAAAAGTATTGAAAGACATTACCATTTCTCCAACTTGTGCAAGATTATATCGAAAAGCATATAAAAAATCTGAAATTACAAATTTTATTGCAGAAATTACATATGTGACATCATTGCAAGCTCTAGCAATGTTCGTCGAAGCTAATTTGATAGAGGGTTAGGAAGAAGTAAAAGATATGTTAAAAAGCCTATATAGGAATATTGGTCTCATACGTTCTAGGAGGAAGTTTGGATTATACCAAGATGGTGCTCATCAATTTGACGTTGTCCGTCGCTCATGTTCTTGTATTGTTCTTTTCGAAGGAGTCTCTGCTATATTTAATGTCCAAAGGGAAAGAACAGGTAGAGATGTCACAATTCTTTTATGCAATATAAATTCATACCTCTCTCTTAAAGTGGAAAGTTTTTCAAGAGAGGACGAAGAGATAAAGTTTTAATTTCTTTTTTAGGTTTTTAGGATCTCCGTGGCCGGGTGGTTTGCACGCCCACAGAGGAGTATTTATAAGAAAAACTCGATCAAAAGTCGATTTTAACAATCTCTACAAAATCTGCTTTTGATCAAGTACAGTTAAAGCCTAATAACGGTTACATTGTTAAATGGCAACACCGACGACGCCTCGCTCATCTTCTAATCAAAACAATAGTCGGAACTCAGCCACCGCGATAACCGTTTGTCTTTGTTCTCAGGGCTCTTGTAAAAACGTGGTATTTAAAATCAGTTTTGTAGTTTGTGCGTAGTGCTATTGGATAAAAATCATTATGGACATTGGAGAAGAAGGTATGTATATGCAGTAGCATCAATTTATTTTTAAATTGTACTTTATATTGTAATATTTTTTTCATCATACACTTGAGACAAAAAAAAACGGTATTTTTTTTTGTAAATGCTACATTCAAAACTGTTTTTGTGTATAAGTTCAACTTAGTTATGTTATGATTTTATGCGTAGTGGAAAGCTCTGTTAATATACTTATTGGTTTTGAAGAGAAAAATCCCGCATGTACACGCATTTTTTTTATTGCATTTTTTTTAACTTATAAGGTAAACATTATATTTTTTTTAGTAAAATTCTTTTTCTTTATATTTATTTCAGGCTCTCAAGATTTGGTGATAAACTTTACCAGGAAATCGTTGTACGATGTTCTAAAACAGTGTTCCAAGAAGAAAATTGATGAAAAGTTCGAATTTTAAAAAAGGGCACGTCAGAAATGTTACCAAAAAATTAAAGTATATCTGTAAGTTTTAAATAGAACATAATAACTTTAAAATGATTTTTATTATACATCTAACCGATAAAACCCCTAAAATAATTTTGATCAACTTTTGGGGTCAAATACTCCTCTGTGGCGCCGGTTTCTAGGTGTCACCGTCTCTGTGATTCCGGGTTCGATTCCCGGTCGGGTCAATGTAAAAAGTGAACTTTTTTAGCTACTCATCTTGGAATCTGAGCAATGTACGTGATGTTGTGTAATATATTTATTATATTAATATTATCTACCAATATACTGAACTGTAATTTTGTTTATCTCGAATCCAAAAGAAGTAGTACCACTGGTTTGAATGAATAATGACACAGTTATTATAACACTTTGTCTAGTAAGGTATTCTACTTTAAAAAAATATATAATCGCCAAAAGTACGTGGTTTATGATAAAGGTATTTAATCATATTTATATTTTTGTTACTTTACCAGGAAGCAGCTAAGGCTTTAGCTTTCACCAGAAATTTTAAACCTGATTCTAAAGAAGTACAAAACGTTCCATACAAGTTCCATACTATAACAAATACTCCTATAATCTTGGCAAGTGTAAAATAAATTCTTGCGTCATATACGTTATAAATGCTACCTACTGCCAACTTCTTAAGAATTACAAGATTTTCTCACTCAAAGCCAGAAGATTGCAATTGCACGCCATGCTGTTATATGATCTTTGTCACAACAAATATGAGATCTCTGATATAATTAATAGAATATGTTATCAGGTGCTGGTTAGACCACGTAAACGAGCATGCCGCAAACTTAAATTATTTTCTACTAAAAATGCCGCAACAACTCTGGTAAACGCTCGCTCTTGCATCGTCTTGCCGAAACGTATAATAAATATTTTGTGAATATAATATATACAATATTAATGTACCATCTACAAACAGTTATTAATCTGAAATTAACACTGCGTCACGTACGTATATAATTTGGAAACTCAGTCCACAAAATAAATATGTTTTTACTTTATTATTGCTCTCAACTAGATAACAAAATGTACTTAACTACTTGTGGTCAACGGTGTTAGTTTCACAATCACAAGATGAAATGATTTCAAAAAAAAAACAAATATATATATATATATATATATATATATTTGTTTTTTATATATATATATATATATATATATACAGATATATATTGAATTATTAGACAATATTATATACATTGCTCTGATTATGAGATGAGTAGTTCATGCTCGTGTCTTATAAAGTATCTGAGACAACGAAGGTACCATAGTTCATTTTCTACTTTGAACCGTTTGGCCGGGACCTTTGAGCGGGAATCGAACCCGGCCGGCTCGGAAACGGTGACACCCTGAAATCAGCGTGCAAAAAACTACTGAAGTGGTTTTTCACATTAAAAAGATTATAAATTAAGAAAAGAAATTCAATAAAATTGTTTTTAGAGGTAAATATTTTTAATAGAGAATATAAAAAAAAGATCTTATATTTGGAGTTAACATTCAAAATCTTTATCGATATTTGACTTAAAACAATGCTTATACATTTTATTTAAGAGGAATATGTTCTAATGGAATGCTTAAATTTTGAGATGCAATAATCTCATTGTAAAAAAGAGTTCATTAGGACTTTATATCATTGTTCACAAGCCGGCCTGCGTCCACCATATTGGAATTATTATGAAATTAAAGATACCTAGTCCACCATATTCGGTGGTCCGCCATATTGGATTTAGAATGAAGATGTTTTTTTCTAATGCAACCATTTGATATTCATATCATGAAAGGCAATTTTTTTTTTTCAGAATACTCTCATGATTGATATAGTATTAAGCCGCGTCTAGGGCGCCCCTTATATAAAATTTTAAATAAATGACGCTAAGCTTATTGTGCATTGTCATTTACACTAAATATGTGTGAAGTTTCAACTTAACTGATTGAGGATACCGAGGAACTGATATAGAACTGCTTTTAAATTAGCTTGCATGATTTGATGAGAAACATTGTGATAATTTTTTTATGTATAAAACAAGACCACGCTAGCGGAAAGCTAGTTACAAATAAATGTAAAAGTGCTAATCGCTAGTACATGGAAAAACTTTTTTAACTTTATTTGCACCGTTTAGATACATTATACTAATGTATTTTTAGTTGAATAATAAATAATAAAAAAAAATTGACGCCAGACGATTGCTAATAATAATACATTAGCTAATACATTTTATCTACTGAAAGAGGCTGGATATCATATTGGTGAAAATATTTAGACTAAATTTTGGAGATGTAGAAGAAACTGTTGCATAGGCCGACCGTCAGACAGTGATCAAAAATTTACTATCAAGGGCTCTTCCGTGCTCATAAAGCACTGAAGAGTCCTTTATGGGGGTCGGTATTACATCGAACAACAGACGGTCTTACATAGACTGATTAGTAATTTATATTATGCTGCTACAAATCAAAATGAACTAAATTATGCCAGTAAATTTTTGAAATGCTGATGCATCTAAAATTATATATGTTAACGCCAGTTATATATTATAATTTTAATTTAATTATTTCATGCGTGGTAAAACTCCAAACTCCACTTCCTTATAAAGCATTTGAAAGCAGCGCCCACAACGACGTCTGTCGCCATCTAGCGGTCAAGACAAGAAAAGTCAGTTTGAATATGGCTCCGCCGCGAACTCGATCTTTCTGCGTATTAATTGGCTGAAAATCTTATTAATTGGCATCGCATATGCCCGGAATTGATCTGTAGTACTAAAAATAGAAGATTGTCGTGCTTCAGTGGTGAATTTAAGTGGAAATAGTGACTAGCAATTTAGATCCATCATCTGGGTCTCGCCGGCGTGAACGCTTTGTGTGCGTTGATAATAAATCGCGCCTTGGAGCTGCTCTGGTGTAAGTCGCTGCATGCTTTCTTCCTTTCTCCTTAAATCGTACTACGCATATATTTCCTATAGAGTTCTACAGTCCGCTCAATTTCATGAAAAAATTATTAATGAGCGCGACCAATATACCTTGTGCTTAAAACTGTATCGTATACTCGACGTATATTCTGCTTTGATTTCATTAAATTACAAGCTACTACTAAACTTTTTGTAAATTAGACACAATCTTTAGTAAAGAAAAAAAATTATCAAATTACAATGTTTTTCTTTTGCTTTACAAACAACATCTGTATAGCATCCACTGTTAATCCTTTTGTCTCGGGTAAGAAAATCACGCTGAAGATTGCGGAACAGAAACAGACAGTGGCAAATATGTAGAAGACGGGACCCAGACCGATGGCAGCGACCAAAGGGGTAAATATGTATAGTATGATGAAACTACAAAGCCATGTCCACTCCAGTACAATCATCGACATGATGCTCTTCACCTAAAAAGTAGTAAGAGCTTTCAACAGATAATTCTATTAATATGCACCTTAATCTAAAGATGAGCTGTTCATCTAGTTTATTTTCACTCTAATTAAGAACTCAAAAAAATTGAAAAATAAATTGTAATGCTATATTGTGTAGTAATGTTTTATGTGCACAAAAGTTACTGCTAGATATTTTTCTTTTTTGTTTATGTTTGTCCTATTCTAAGTTCAAATATCTTCTATAATTTCAATGGACTAATATATGTGATACTAAGACACCCACGATCTAACAATAGTCGATGAGACTAAAAATCTATAAAAATGTTATATAAGTGAAAGTAACGCATCTTATAATGTATTTTGAAATTTTAATTTCTAAAGATTTCAAGTGCAACTGAGACGGTTAATTTTAATTAATATTTTCCTACAAATATAACATTTAGCTTTCTGAAGACATGCTGTTAGGTATTACATAATTTTCAATTAGGGTTGGTTTGGGGTAGCTCAAAGCCATTTTGAAATTTACCTCAGGCAGAAATAATTCGGCGATCAGAATATAAGGTACAGTGCCGGCACCACACTGGTAAGTTGCGACAAATAAATAAACAAAGACAGCAGTCAACCACGGTGGACCCCAGTGTAGATGTATGTGTGTACCCAAGCATATACAGCACAAGCCAGCAGCTACTGAGAAGATGATCATCAGTGACTGCGAGTGTAAACGAATAGTCAATAAATAAATTTTAATCATGAGAGAAACCGGTAAGATACTCGGTAAGTACTTATTCTTGAAATTAATAAAAAAATCTTTCACCTACGGGAATGCGGTGAACATAGGCTATATTTTATCCCGAAGAATGGCAAATAAAGGGATTAGCTCGGCGGCGTACAGGACAAGTGCTGTGATCCGCGACTGTTATTGTTAAGCAACTTTCGCAAGGGTAGGTCACGGGATGGGTAGCCAAAAAATACATATCATCTCGAGCTACGTTAGGCACGTTAAGCCATTGGTTCCAGCTGCATTTGTGGTCGTTAATATTCTCCAATCCGCATTGAACCAGCGTAGAGGATGTATAAGAAAGGCTCGAGCCCCTGCAGTGGAGACGTAAAAAGGCTGATGATGATGATGATGAAAGGGATAAAAGTAGGGGGTGTAGCCGTTGACGGAAAGCTAATATTTAATATTTTTAGTGTTACCTATTATATGAAAAATATCAATATTATTAAAAAACATGAAATAAAAACTAAAAAAAAACGAACCGACTGCAAACTTTAAAATGTGATAAATAGCACTTATCTCAAAAGTGACTTTTTGAAAACAATGCTATTGAAGTCGGGTGCGTATCTTTTAATTAATAAACCTACAGAAGACCTCCGCCCAACTTCATTAATATTTTCTTGTATAAGCCGCTTTTGAAATAAGTATTATATATCACTTTTTTAAAGTTTGAAGTCGGTTCAATTTTTTTAAAGTTATTAGTATAGATGGATGTTCTCACCCGTCTGCCAATCAGGTCGGTCAAGGACGCTGCAATCATTCCAAAGGTCACGGAAACTACAGCAAGTATGACACTACACCATGCCGCTGATAGGATATTTTCTGGGACTGCTTCGCTGAAGAGAGGATTTGCGTATACCATGACCACTACTATACCTTGGAAAACGGCTGTCGTCATCAAAGTCAAAGATAGAAATAAAGCACGCTGTGTAGACTTGGATTTTTCTAGAAATATAAACAAATGAGTCAATATTAGACTACATAAAATTATATTTAGATTCCAAACGATATTTGTTAAAATAACCTCATATGGCACACTATATAATCCAGTTTAGAAATATAGAATACACAAGATGGGTACTTACTAAAGAATTCGAGGAAATTTTGTTTTTCTCCGTGCCACTCTGGAGTCGTAAATGTTAACTTTTCTTCTTCGGGTCTTTGTATTTCTGTAATTTTATTTTAAAAATTTACAGCACTTATTTGCACTCTTATAGATTAATAAATCTTTAATCTAAGCCTAAGATAGTTTATAATCTAAATCTTAGATTATATGATAATTATGATCTTAATGTGCACTGATGATGATTTTTTGTATTTTCCAGTGCCATTTACGAGGCAGGCCATCACTTAATTATTAATGGAAAAAAAACTGCCGATCACGGAATCTGAGTAATGTAAAATGATTAGCATTTTTTCTTTATGGCTCTGGTTGTCCAAATTACTCATCATAATTATTTGTCTCACTTTCTTTTTTCTTACAACCGTCACACCATTTGAATCACACAGTATAGCTTATAGAGTATGGTAACTAGAACTAAATGTGGAAAAATACCTACGCTGCATCGGAGCGTAAGGGTGCAGTAGAGAAGTTAAACAATATTGAGACTTGGGCCTGTTCCTAATCAATGATTACCTACGACCTTGTAATACGTAAACAGATAAAAAAATCGTCTATAATCTCGTCAGTCGTAGAACATCAGAAGTGACAAATATATAGAATGTTCTTACACACTCAACGATAATCGATGACGTTTCGCTTACTAATTAAAGGATCTTTCGTCAGATTTTCGTCAGTAGAAACGTGCGTTTGTGTGAATAGATGAATTTAACCATACTTATGTATTTTTCTGTAGTATATATTTTTTAAATACTGACTGAAAGACACTAGGCTACTATAACTGCAGACAGCAAAAAAATAAACTAAACGTGACTGCGATTATAAAAAATAGGACAGTAAAGAAAGAAATAGAAACAAAATCGTGACTGACAATAAAAATTTACAACATAGTTATAGATTTATAATGTCGAATTTTGAGACTTTCCTTAAAAATAAATCAGTAAAATTAGTTAGGTTATCCTCCGACGATGGGACTTATATTTACATTTTCTTACATGGTCGAAACGTGCAGACTGCGGTATCACATATCTTCTTCTCTCGATTCAATTAAACTGTATATTTCCTAGAAGTTATTTTTGAAAATCAAACCTAGCAATCACGTAAAAAATTACAATTTAATTAAAAGAAACGCTTGACATTAATTTCACTTTGAAACTGTACATTACCTAGTTTTTTGGGAGCTAATGTCTTTTTGATTTTCTTAATCTCTTGTAATACTACAATAGAATCAGATTTTGAGTTCGTATAAAATGCTATAGATTTCCTGGCTTCCTGTAAAGTTAAAGACATTTATTTATCTTTCTTAATCGTAATGTATGTAATGTAAGCGTGGTAGTTAAAGACAATTATGCTATTTATATAGGGCAGCTGACTCAGTTTTGACTACTGGCCTTTTTGGCCTTTTGGAACTTCAAAGCATAGTAAATTACCAATAGGCAAATAGGTATGTTTTTTACTGTGTATGATCCGTAATATATTGCACTATAGCAATAAAGTTAGTTAAAGTTTAACTAGGTACATATGTATCTTAAAATGTTCAAAGCCAAATCATTTACCCTACATAATTTTTAGGTTAACTATTGCAAAACTCACTTCTTCCATCCCTTTCATCATCAGCAACGTCGGCGATTCTTTCAAAGGTATTAATATCATGATTCCAATTACCGATAGAGTGAGACAGATATACACCATGGACTTGTAGCTGAGCGCACCTCCTATCAAGTATGAAGTAAGCATTCCCAGGCGGAGAAAGACCAGAGCGCCTGATGTCAAAGTTCCTCTTATTGATTCATTGCTGAATTCGCTGACGTAGACTGGGTCTATGAGGAATATAGAACTACCGATTCCCGATATAAACATGGCGACTAGGATGACTTCGACGCGGTCACTGAACACTATTAATCCCCATGCTAGCTGAAATGAAAGCAAATAGTGTATGTATATCGTTGAAATTAAGCTATTTTACGAATTGAATGTTTAGTTCGGTGTGTTTTGATAGATGTAAAGTCACTCAATATTAATATAATATTTTTGATGAATTAGTGCAAATATGATTTAAAAGTCGTCTGGTATTCTGGCAGTCCCTATTTTGATATCTTACTTACTATTTTTTGCTAATCGAATGTAAGTAGGAATCTTTTCTTCGAATGTTTTATTTAATAAAGGTTTACTCACACCTAAAAGACGTCCTGAATAAGTGGAAGTTTTTGGACGATTCAAATGTGCTTGTAATAAGCTTACTTGAATAAAGATATTTTCATTTCATTTCACCTCTTGAAGTAGACTTTTTTATTGGACTTGTAACAGTCTAAGACTGAATTTGATTTAATTTGTACCTTGAATGTCAGCGTTGTGTTCGTCAGTATACCAGTTTAAACGTATTTGATTGTTCTGACATTCCTCGACGGACGATATGCGTGAGATTTTCCATCAGAATTGCATCGATGCTGACGCTGAGTAGTGAGACATTAATTATCATGTAAACGAGGCAAAAAAACTTACTGTTCTAATACAAGCAGTAATTATAGCGCAAGGCTTTCTCCCTAAACGGTCCAAAACTAATCCAGTCAGAACATTACTGATAAGAGATCCTATAGAAGCCACACTCCCTAACAACGCCAGTTCAAATTCCACCATAGGTCGATGCAGAGGAGTTTCATTTGATTTGAAAAGAAGATACGTGGACGAAGGCCATGTGAAAAATATGCCAAGGTTGAGGCAGCTAAAATGTACTGAAAAAAGTTATAGCACATGTAATATTAAGGTGGGGTAGCTCTCAACTGAATAAATAAATAAAAGATGTCTATATGTCTGTATCACTTGGATAAATGCATTGAATATACATACAGACAATCAACTTTTTCTACTTTATTACATAAGCTTAGATGCAAAAATATCATGTATTTAGGAAGTGTTTTTTGCTATAATGAGCTTCTTTACTACCAGGCTAATTCGATTATATGTTAATACTTAAAAAATTATATTATACTCACAAACTAAAGCTGATAAAACTTGAATTATAAATTTGTTCATTTTTTTCGTTAATACTTTATGCTTTTTTATTTAAACTAATACTCTTTAATAGTATGGGTTAACAATAGATTCTTAATGTTAGGTGATATAAATCTAGATAAAGGCTTTCTTATTTATGTTGATACCGTCACAAAATTATTCACTTAATTATATATCTTAAAGATCAACAAGATACGTCTATTAGTTAAGACGTGAATAGAAAATTTAAACGATACGAGGTTTAGGATCACGTACTTAAGATTATTTTAAGTGTCATGCCGGCTTTGTTATTCTATTAAAGATTTAGTAGCGAACACACTTTTTATTATGAAAAGAGGACTTATTTTAACACCAGGTTTAAACCATTACCCGACCAAAAAAAGTCGACAAGTCTCAATTTGACGTTTTTTCTTCTGTCATTGATAATTTTCTTTAGGTAGTCAAAGGCTTAAAACTAAGTACTAACTATTTGTTTTATTATGAGATGGTTTAATTACATTTTGAAGTCGGTTTTATTTTATGCCGAATTTGAGGCTACTTGTGTAATTTTATTACACAATATCATTTTTGTATTGCCACTCTTTTGGATGTTCAAATAAATACCAAGGTTCATCGTCATCTTATTCAGCTGTTTTGTGTCCTATATCGATAATACACGTGTTCAATCTTCCTCCATGCCAAACTTGTACCTTCGACCTCTGTGCCATCTGATATTGTCTACCCAACTCTTGGGAGGTCCACTCCTGTTTTCGGCACGTGATATCCGTTCCAGAAGTCGTTTCATCCACTTACTTACACATATAACAGGGATCATGTACTCACGGGATACATTTTGGAGATATGCCGTCAGTTGAATATGCATGAGTGGTCTTAGCTCTGTAATTTTATCGGACTATTAATATTCACCCCTTTGATCACTACTATAAGTTATGATATGTTGGTTATGTTAAAAAACAGTCATAAACTCGACGCTGTGATCTGCGCTGTCATACTAGCGCTTCAATAAAATAAATCTCTTATTACATAAAAAATGTTTTATCTGATTGAACCTTTATGCTATGTCCTCGACAACTTCGAAGCTGTTTTTTATTAAAATAATACTGCTGTTTTGTACATATTAGCAAAAGTTTGTCTATATTTAAGGATATTCTGCATGTTCTTCTTGCCTGAGACAAAAGAACGGTTAATGATTCTTCTTTAGATTGTAATTCGTATTTGAATCACTACTCTACATATTTTTAGGATCCCTTGATAATAGTCACCTCGGAGTAAACCTGAAGACAACTACGAAATAAAATGAGTTGTATAATTTTACAAAATTACACAGAAAAATTTAAGTACAAAATTGCTAGTATTCTTAATAGAAAATGCTTAAAAAATCTTAATTAGAACAAAATTCTCATCTTTATCCAAAGTTTCAATATTTGCCACAATATTTCTTTCGGCTGTTTGGGTGGATGCCTGAACATTGATGAGAATACGCTCTGTAGTAGCGAAAAGTAACAAGTGCTTGAAAGATTCGTCAGTCCTGTTAGGTCCTGGGTAGCTCAGTGGTTAGAGCAGTCGCCCGGATTGCGAAAGGTCGTGGGTTCGAGTCCCATCTCAGGGTGCCAGGGACCAAGTGGATTTTTAAGCATTTGTATTAAGAATAATTTTCAGTATGGCATTGCGAATGCTAAAACAATCAAAATATAATAACTGCTAGTTGTTCTATAATATTTCGTTATCATCATCTAAGCTATTTCGAACTTAGATCGATTGAATTTATTTTCATGAATTGTATTTTTTAATTAATATTATTTGTTGGTGAATCGAATTTGTGGTTTTATAGTTTTCAGACGGTTGATCTATAATTTTTACTTAATTATCCTTGCTGGGAAACACTTATTAGTGCAAAATGCTTACTATTTACCTACTATTTGGTAATTTTGGCTCACGTCACAGAGACACTACATCATTGATTTTAATTAACATATTTTCATTGTTACGGTGGCAATTTATGTAAGAGCTGAGTCATACTAAACATTGTTATATAATTAATTCAAGATTATAGGTTATTTCCTAAGTATTTCTTCTTTAAATATGATATTTAAATTATATATTTTTTTTATATTAATACATTTATCATTATACGTGTCTATAACAAAGATATAGTAAACAGTGTTAGAAAGAAACTCACCTGTAAAATTAACCAATAAAAGGTAACTAGTAAATTACGGACCAATGGGCGCGTCGCGTCCAGTTGTTAATTAGCCTCTACTGTTCATTTATTTGTGTTCGTTTGTGTGTCTGTTGTGTGTTTGCATATATGCGTTGTTGCCACTTTAACTACGCTTTATAAAATTGTACTGCAACGACTGCGCCAAAGTGGCTGTTGTAATTTCAATCAACCTCCGTGGTTGAATAGATCGCACGCCGGTTTCAAGGTGTCATCATCTCCGAGGTCCTGCGTTCAATTCCCACTCAGTATCTATGTAAATCTTTATGATAACCGTAAAAGAAAAATGCAATGGCCGAATAAACAAAGAATTTTGAAAATTTATCAAGAATTAGCGGAAATATCGATGAACGTACAAAAAAGACATACATATCCGTCGAAACATACCCTCCTACTTTTAGATTTTGAAGTCGATTACATTTTATTTTATATGAGTTTAATATGAATAAGAGTTTTACTTCTTAATTTTAATGTAATGTTAGTATGTGTGTAATGTATCATTGCTCTGGTTCTACGAATTTAAGAGCAATTTTATTATATATTTATAATGTTTCTTTTGAATATGAATATGTTAATTTATTGAAATATACGTTACACGGTTCGAAGAGTTATTTTATAAGTTTATGATACATATTAGGTATGCTATTTGTAGATTTCATTATAATTTATTTACATATCATTTGATGTTACGAAATAAAAGCGTAGGGTGTGTTGTAATTTTGTGTGATATCTATCATTGCACTAATATTGTGCGACTTGATTATTTTGGGTTTTTTTGTTTACATATTTAATATTACATTTGACTAATTTCGCATTCACAATGCTATATTCACCTGGGACAGTTAAATTTAATTTAAATATTTTCTTTTTGGATTGGTATTATTTTAGAACGATTAAAGTATGAAATAAAAATTGAAATTAAAATTTGGAAAAAAAATGTATTTTCTAACTTTTTAATATTTTGGAGGTTCCCGCAGAGCGATTGCCTCACGTTTCATTGATTTTATCAACGACTAGGTTTCCGGCTGCGGCTTCGCCCTCGTGGAATTCGTTTGTTATCGCACTTCGTATTTACGTCCCGTACTTCAACCCCTTTAAGCCTATTCTTCGCAATAAAACTATTCTATGCCGTTTCCCAAGATCCAATCTACCTGTGTACCAAATTTCATAAAAATTGATGATAATAATGTATGGCGCGCGCACACACACACACACACTCAGCACACACACGCATGCACGCGGTATGGTTACTTTTGAATTTATATTTGTATGTATTTATTATTTTTCAATCGTTTAATATACAAAAAAGCGAACATTTTTAAACAAAGAACTAACGCAAAATATTAAAATTAAATGAGCTCTAGTTCACTTAGCGAGACATAGCATCGTCGTCAGGGTTAAAAAGTTATGAAGATTTAATGTTAAAAAATTAGGAATAGCCATTTCATAACAATATGCAGAGCGAATTCTGCATTATTAATATATATATATTGAAACAGGCCTACCCTTATTGGTGCCCCCCAAGGAAGCATTTTAGGACCTATGCGCTAAGACGCTTCCCTGGGGGATACTGAAGTTGAGATACTCATCATGGCTAACGATGTTATCTATTTTAACACATTGATGGCGA